GCGGGCGGCGGCCGGTCGGGGTCGACGGAGTCCGGCGGTGGTTGCTGACGGTCGGTGGTGGTCGACGGCGATCGACTATGACAGAGATGATGTTGGACTGGAACTCCTTCTCAAAGCCTCAAGTTATCTCTCAAGCCTCCTCCCTCATGTGAGGGTTGAGGCTCTATTTATAGTGGTTCATGGTGCAATTAATGCAAGAATATCAACTATTTTGATTGGACGGTCCAGAGAATTTCCTTCGATCATGCTACGTTTAATGGACATTTGAGTGCCTTAACGATATCGGAATTGAGTGATCTTGAGCTTGTTGGATTCATCTTGTCGAGCCGCTTCATTCGAGTATAAACTTGCGAGTGTAGACATCTGTTTGACCTTCCAAATGTGTTTAGAAATCTTTCAAGGTTGGTTTGATGATTTGGAGCTTGATTTGACTCGGATTGGACTAGTTTTCATATCATTAGGTCCGTCTCATCAAACCGGTCAGTTTGACTATAAGTTTGCTGAAATCGGAGCTTTGGATGACATTTTATCAAGATTTAAATATTTCTTATTTAAAATATCGTCTTGAGATTTATGTTACAAAGCAGCTGGCCCAGATGGATTCACTGCTGAGTTCTATAAAAAATCTTGGAACATTATTAAGCCTGAGGTAATAGTTGCTGTGGCTCCAAGGAAATATCTCCCACATTACTTCAGTGCCTCTACTTTTGTGCTGATCCCCAAATCTGAGATGCAAACCAACTGGAATCACTTCAGAAAAATTTTTCTAGCCACTATCATCAATAAAGCAATCAACAAAATCATTGTCAATAGGTTTCAGCCCCATCTTGAACATATCATTAGACCCAATCAAACTGCCTTTGTGAAGGAGAGATCTATTATCGACAACACTCTTTTGGCACATGAACTACTACATGATCTGAATAAAACCTGTAGAGGTGGTAATTTGATCTACAAACTAGATTTGAAAAAGGCTTATGATACTATCAGTTGGGGATTCATCGAATTCAATATGGAGGTTCCCTCTACAAGAGGGTTTCACATAGAATTCTGTCAACTTATCCACAGATGGCTACACAATAACAACCATTTTGTTCTCATAAATGGGAATCGATGGGGGTCTTTCACTGCAACCAGAGGTTTGAAGCAAGGGGATCCCTTATCCCCCACCATTTAATTTTGGATGAATCTATGCTAAGCTAGAATTCTGGATGAATCTCTGCTAAACCAAAGCTACACTATTTACCACCATAGATCCAACATAGCCATCACTCACTTACTCTATGCTGATGACATCATGGTATTCTCAAGAGCTCATAAGAATGCAGTAAGGAAAGTGTATCAGACTCTTCAAAAATTTCAAACACACTATGGGATGTGTTTCAGTCCTGAGAAGTGCCTCCTGATTTTTAATGAACAAGCATCTCCAAATTGCAAACGATGGGCTTCTAGTTATACAGGCTTCTCCAACTTCCAACTTCCTATCAAGTACTTAGGTGTCATGTTATTCACTGGAAGAACCAGACAAATACAATTTGAGGAAGTCATAAATAAGATCACTTCTTATCTTAATGGGTGGTCCTAATCTTTTCTATCTAACGGGGGTAGAATTACACTGCTAAAAAGCATTCTAACTACTTTTTCCTCTTTTATTTTGCAGATGACAAATATAAAGAAAAGAACCCCAATCCAATTAGAAAGAACATTTAACAGGTTCCTGGCTGGGGGCATTGACTTTAAGGGTATTAACCAACTCTTTCAAATCAACCTATGTAAGCTATGGATTAAGTTTAGAGCCCACACTTATTTGTGGGCTAATTCCATGAGGGGAAAATATTGTAAAGACCAGCATGCAACCCTTGTTGAAAGGAAAACTGTGGATTCCAAAATCTGGGGGAAGATGCTGAATATAAGACAAACTGCTGAAAATCTTTTTATTTGGGATTTGGGAAAAGGAGATATAAGTTTTTGGATTGATAATTGGTGCCCTAAAGATTGGCTGTCTCCTATCAGTAGTGTCCCTAACACTGATCTCAAGGTTGCTGAATGCTGGGAAGATGAAGACTGGTCATTACTTAAGCTGTCAAATATTCTCCAAGCCAACTCAGTCACAAAAATTACTAGCATTAAAATTGACAGAAGCAAGCCTGATAAAATTATTTGGCAGTCATTCTCCAATCAAAGTCTTACCAAAGATATCAACTCTAAAGTCTTCCAATGGGAGCACATATCCTGGGGCACTATCATTTGGAACAATTTTCTATCCACTTCCATGTCTTTTTTCTGCTGGAGGGCATTTCATAAACTACTTCCTACTGATGACATCCTTAAACTAAAAGGATTAAGGGGTCCTTCTAAATGCAGGCTTTGTCTACATGAGGAGGAATCACTGCCTCATCTCTTTTTTGAATGCAATTTTGTCCAACTTGTATGGCACCAACTGCTGTCACACTTGAATATAGAAAATAAACTCTTTACTTGGGACAAAATTACCATCTGCTGGCATACATGGCATAAGAGGAATTATGCTTCTATACCCCTTATTGTTGCTTGGTTTATATGGATGGAGAGAAACAAGGCTAAGTTTGAAGATGATATACCAAAAACTGAAAAGATTATTAGAAACAAGCTTTCTTATGTACACAAGATGAATAAACTCAAAAGATTCCCTAACATTTCCAACTCTTACTCTTCGGGACAGCCTGACCAGATTCAAGTCTACAGGGTTTACTGGAAACCTCCAGATCATAATACTGTTAAGATAACTACAGATGGAAGCTTTAATAATTCAGGAGTAGGTGTGGGGGGTGTCTATAGAAATCACTTGGGAAAATGCTTACTACAATTTTATATTCCTGTTATGGTTGTTGATGCACTTGAAACAGAACTTGTTGCTGTTTATTGGGCCCTAAAGATTGCCAAAATGACTAGCTGGTATAATTTATGGTTAGAAGTGGATTCTACAAACTTGTTGAATTATGAGGAGCATGTGCCCTGGCATCTTACATATTGGATAAAAAAAATCAGAGAGCTAAACTCTTAGCTCAAGGTGCACTACACTTTCATATATAGGGAGGGAAACCAGCCTGCAAATTAGCTAGCTAAACAAGGTTATAACTCAAAGGATTTCTCTGTTGTTGTTACCCACACCCTTTAGTTTTTATTGCAGGGATAAATGATTGATGTCCCACATTTCAGAATTGCTAATCAAGATTAATGGAGACTGCTTTGCTTCATTTGATGTTCCAACCCCCCTCTTTTCTTGTGTTGCTCCCCCCATATTGTTTGGGGGTTTTATTGAACTTGAGTTTGCTTCCTTAAATAGGCAAATTGTTGTTTTGGTTATTTTTTGGGAGGACTGATGATTCATGTATTGAATTAACATGTTCTCCAGCTGTTCTTCCTTTTATAATTCCCTCATTAGTCTAACATGTAGGGAGACAATAGTATCTCCTTAAACCATATATATATATATATATATACTTGTCTTAATCAGATTAACTAAACATTATTACAATTCTAAATTGGAATTAGTTGGCAATCAATTGTTAATCTATTCATTAAGCATTAAGTTATCTAAGTAATAACTTGTATATTATCAAGACATTTAAAAGGGTTTTGAGTAGTGGTGATGATTTATGGATTGATGATGTTCTGATAAAAAAGTTAGCCAATTTAAAAACTCTTGGGTAAGTTTTTTGCTAAAACATTTTCATAATGGTTGGTTAGGTATTTTTTGATAGAAAGTCATGAGAACCTCTATATCAATGTGAGGGCATGTCAACCTGACTTTCTTCACCTTTAATTGATGTTTTGATGTATGAATATAGTTCGATGTTTTATAATTGTTTTAATGCTAAATTGACAGTTAAAATAACGAACAAATAAAAAATAATTTTGATCTTTCTTTTTTTCTCCATAAACTTATGTAATAATATACATTATAATAATTAAAAGTATAAAGAATTGAGTTGTGATATTTGATACAGTATCAACAAATTTTCATCATCTTACACAGATCTCAGCGCATGACACAAATCTTAAGGTAATTTTTTTAACAAGAAACATTTAAATTTTAATTAAATTCATTAAAAACTCCTATCTCAGTAAACTTACAATCAAACTGATTGAATCGACGAGAAGAATGCAATGACACCAGCATTAACTCAATTCGAGTCAAACCAAGCCTAAATTGAGCGGTAAACAATTTTTTGGAGCTTCTAGTGCCAAATTGGAAGGTAAAAAAGATTCAAATCTGACAAGCTTATAGTCAAATTGAGCTACTTAATGAGAAGAATCTAATGGATCTAAGATCACTGAATTCTTATATTGTTAAGGTGCTCAAATGTCCAATCAATGGGATTTCTCTCATCATTCAATGGAGTGGGGCAAATTATTTTCCCATTTATAGCAAGACCCATCCTAAACTTCATAAATACAGCCCTACCCCTTTAATGAAAGGGAACCTAGAACTAAAATTGGAGGAACGAGTTGAGGTCCAGTATTCCACACTAAAGGTCCAGTGAACGCTACACTCTTCTGCAATTGTAGACATGCCGACACCCATTGACCATAACGTGTAAACCACTATCAATCACCATAGATCACCCCTTAATCATCACAACAAAGCACCTTACAGAATCATGAAATGCTCTGTAAAGTCTTGATGTGCGCTGGAGTAACGACCAACATTATTGAGTAATGAAGAAATATACGAGGCGAGGCAACACCCCAATGACGATGTAAAAATGCACCCAAAAGATGATGTAATAATGTCTCAAAGATGTTGAAATGTGCACCCCAAATTTAGTGTAGTAATACATCCCAAAAATTGTGTAATGATGCATCCCGAAGATGATGTAACAACACACTCAAATATAAAACAATGTTGTGTCCGACATATGGTGTAACAATGCATCCTAAAGATAATATAACAACACACCCTATAATAACTACTTACAATTGTCATACTTAAGATATACTAACTTTCTCTGGACTGTTAAAGCTCTCTCTTTGTAGCCTAAAGGCACGACATATGTGATATAATACATCTTACGCATTTCACTACTTATGGAGCACCAAACAATGATCTCTATGATATACATAAATTATCACAACTTGCCACTACAACTTACATAGTCCACAAGTGCTTTAGCTCCCAACTCCAGCTTCTGTGGCCTATGGAGATTATCACAAGTCGACACAATTGTCTACTCGACCAACTATGGCCTATATGATCCAAAACTCATGTAGCTCCTAAATCTGGCCTCTATGGCCTACAAACATTATCACAACTTGTGTAGCTCATAAATCTAGCTTTTATGGCTTATAGATTTTATCACAACTCATGCTGCTCTCAACTCTAACCTTTATGGCTTACGAACTTTATCACTAAGGTAGCCTTCAACTCCAGTCTCTACATTCTACAGATGTTATCATAACTCACACTATGTCCTACACTACCAACTATGACTTACGTGGTCCACAACACATGCAACTCTGAACTTTGACCTTCGTGGATTACAAATATTATTACATCTAACCACTAAGTCCTATGTGACAAACTATGATATACATGGTCCACACCCCATCCAACTCCCATATAAGGCTTTTATAAACGAACATTATCACAGGTCATTGCTATGGATTATACGGTCCATAACACATGCGCTCCCAGCTCCAGCCTTTATGGCCTGCAGACATTATCATAACTTACCACTACGATCTATGTGATCAACTATGGCTTATGTGCTCATAACATCTACAACTCTCTACCGCAACCATTAAGCTTAATTGATGCTCCTGAAGTAACCAATTACAACACACATGACCAACTATTATCATCACATTCAACTACAACCTCTACGACAAGCTAGTGTTACAATCACCATCTAGAATGGTACTACCTTCATAGCAATCAACTACGACCTTCACAACCTGTTATGAATATTAATTCTAAAATATAGTTCTACATGAATTTTATTTTTCCATCTCCCTAACTCAAGAGAAAAGTGGGCTTGTATACTCACCATTACATGAATTTTTTCAATTGGATAGGCTTTTTCATTTTTTTCCATTTACAAAATTTTTATCATAAAAATCCATGGTGTCTCCTCTCACTACTCTTCTTTAAACTGTGTGTATTGGATTCTCATACTACACTGAGATGAAAACTTATTACTCTACCATCACAGATCTTCTGACATGCATCATTATTATTCCTGTTGAAATCATATATGATATTACTATCATGTAATAAAAAATTAACCTTGATAGCTTTCTCTTATTAAAATTCTTTAGTGAACATTAAGAAAATATTATTTATATCTTTTTGTATATTGAAACTCTTACTAATGATATATATATATATATATATATATTTTGATAATGTGCTACGTTTATTTTTTCATGTAAATAGTAGCAAACCATTCACCATTATCATTTTATTTAAGATCTAAAAGGCTAGACACATATTTTATATTAAGAAAAACTATGTAACTTTCCCTTTTATTGTAATATTTATTTTATAATTAGTTGTCTTTCTAAATTTTTTCCAACTGATATTTTTCTTTAAAATCTTTTAAATTTACCATGCCAGTAATCCTATAAGTAATTAAGAATATGTTGATCATCTTATGTTACTTCTTTATTCAAATCCATCAGTTTTTAAATTATTACTTGAAAATTGAGTATAACTTTTATGTGACAATCTTAAAATTTCCCTTCACTTATAAATATATAGCATTGTGGCTAACTCATGTTAATTCATTAGTTAGTATCAACTATTCCTAGAGAATTATTTTGGAGAAATAATTCCATATCTTTATGTTATGTTTAGAGGAAGTATCCTTGTTATCTAAAATTGCTTACATTTTACTTACATTCCATTTACTTTTGTATTTATTGTTTGTTTTCTTCTTAGTTGTAATTTTTGTTTTCTTTCAATAAACAATTTTATGATAGCATATTACATGTATTTTAAACATTGATTGTAGAGTTTATTGAAAGGTGATAGAATTAAATAATAATTTCACCTTTCAAATATTTTAAGAATTTTTTTTTGAGTTAGGTTGGAGGGCTGACATTAATCCACAGATTGACATGTTATTTATGAATTGAGATTGCAAAGAGAACTTGATCTAAGCATTACAAAGATCTTCATGGACTTAGAGATTTGCTCTAAAGCCAATAAGGTTCTCCGAAGGTTGCATATAGTAACACATTGAACTTATTAGACTATTTTCATAAACTTGTTTAATTAAATTGGCTTAAGGATTACTTTAATCTAGTTCATTACCACAAGTTAGGCACTTGGCAAAGTCCTAAGGCAATTGAAATTTGTTCCAATTTTACTGGGAACTAAGCTTATTTACTCAATTATGCTAAGTAGCCAATTAGGTACATCATGATTCCTTCGGTTTTGACATCATGTTAATCAACACATTTAATCGTTTAAGTTAAAGATTAATTATATACATGCATAAAAACATACATACATACATAGAAAGTAGGGAATGACTAGGTTAGTAAATTTAGTCCTTTAGGTTAATCGGGCAACTAGACTAAAGGGTTAAGTTTATGGGTTGTTCTACGTGTAGGTTCTTTAGTATTTACATAAGTTCTTTAGCCCTAAAAACAAGATTTGTATATAAACTAATTTTCTTTTGCTTTTATTCCAAGGACACTTATGATTTGATCCATGAGAACTTGCCATGAAGTGCAAGCATATTTACTAAGTTAAGATGAGCACAAACTCTATTAAAACCAAAGCTAGGAGATTGAACTAAGGTGACTCTAGAGTTTTGCTAGGGGTTAGTCAAAGATTTGTTAGACAATAGGAGGTTAAGGATTGCAAAGAATTTGTAGATATTTGACCTATCAAAATCCGTTGTTTGAGAAAAACACAACATAATACTTCATAAACAAAGCGTGATAACACGTCTCATTTCGCTTTCACACGCGCATGTTCGACCTTAGACGACGATCAAGCATGCATGTCTCTATGCAAAGATCTACATCATAGATCTTATAAATTAATGTTGG